ATAGTTCCTTATTGGCCCTGCCAATTTAAATATATCTGAAGTAATTTTGGAGAACTCCTGGAGGATGGGAGAGGTCCCAGAGGACTAGAGAAGGGCAAATAGTATCTGTCTTTAAGAAGGGGAACAAATCGGACCTGGAGAACTATAGACAATTCAACCTAACTTGAATCCCTGGGAAAATACTGGAACAAATTATTAAAGTATCAATTTGTAAGCATGTAGAGGATAAGAGGGTAATAAGTAATAGCAAACATGGATTTGTCAAGAATAAATTATGCCAAACCAATCTAATTTCTATCTTTGACGAGGTTACTGGCCTAGTGGATATGGGAGAAGTTGTAGATGTGATCTGTCTTGATTTCAGTAAAGCTTTTGACACACTCCCACGTGATATTCTTTTAAGCAAACTAGGGAAATGTGGTCTAAATGAAATTATTATAAGATGAGTGCATAATTGGTTCAAAGACTATACTCAAAAAGTAGTTATCAATAGTTCGCTGTCAAACTGGGAGAATGTATCTAGTGGAATCAGATGGGTGTGTCCTGGGTCTGGTAGTAGTCAGTATTTTCATTAAAAACTTGGTGGAAATTTGCAGATGACACCCAGTTGGGAGTGGTTGCAAGCACTTTGGAGGATGGGAGTAGAATTCAAAAAGACTTTGACAAAGTGAAGAATTAATCTGAAATCAACAAGGTGAAATTCAATAAAGAAAAATGCAAAGTACTACATTTAAGAAGGAAAAATCAAATGCACAGCTACAAAATAGGGAGTAACTGGTTAGGTTAATATCATCCTGGGGTGTATTATCAGGAGTGACGTATATAAGCACAGGCAGTAATTGTCCTGTTCTGCTCCACTCTGGTGAGACATCACCTGGAGTAGTGTCCAGTTCTAGGTGCCAGACTTTAAGAAAGAAGTCAACAACTTGGAGAGAGTCCAAAGGAGAGTAACAAAAATGATAAAAGATTTAGAAAACCTAACCTGACCTATATGGAAAGGTTAAAATAACTGGGCATATTGTGTCTTGAAAAAAAAAAAAACTGAGGGGGAACCTGATAACTATTCAAATATGTTAAGGGGTGGGAATGGTGATCATTGTTCTCCATTGTAGATAGGACAAGAAGTAATGGGCTTAATCTGCAGCAAGACAGATTAAGGTTAGATATTAGGAAAATCTTTCTAACTCTAAATCTTTCTAAAATCTTTCTAACTCAGTTAAGCACTGGGAGAGGCTTCCGAGTGGAGTTGTGGAATCCCCATAATTGGAGGTGTTTAAGAATAGGTTAGACAAACACCTGTCAGGGAGGGTCTAGGTTTACTTGATTCTGCCCCAACTCAGGAGGTCCTTTCCAGCACTGTATTTCTATGATTCTGTAGCCACAGAGGCCCTCTTAGGAGTGTAGTTCCATTGTTCAAGGGTGGGGTAGAATTTGGGGAATCTTTCCAGGGAATGTGTACCCCATATTATTGGAAGGCTTTAAGCAAATTCACAGCAGGGATTTAGTGCCTGAGTGGTGGATTCAGCTCTATGCAGAATCTGCTATTCATTTCCACTCGCCCCTCATGGAATGAATGGGTACACAAAAAGGGCAGAGGCTACCCATGCCCTGACTCTTGAATGTAACGACAAACTAGTGACTGTGTTACTACAGAATAACCTGAGGGGGAGGATTCTTTCCCTTCCTGTTTTCAGAGGCAATCCTCAGCACACAGGATGCCACTCAAGGTGTGCAATTGTAATCCACACACCTTCTGGGTGTGGTGTTTTGTCCCATCTAGTGGCACCAAGACCACTTAGAGTTAAATGAGTCTGCCCTACAGTCTTAGCTGACAGCCAGTGGGCTTTTAGCTCCTGCGGTAGAGGCTCATGCACTAAGTTCAAGAGGTCCCCGGTTCAATCCTGCCCGCCGACAGCCAGGGTCTGTTGACATTAGACAATGAAATCAGGATTTGGGCTTCAGACAGTCCATATCTCTGTTGTGAAAGGCTGGCTCTCTGCAGATTCAGCAAGGTAACACCGTGTCAGTTTGCATCTAATAGGTTTTCTTTGTAACAGTAAGTGCTAGATTTTTTTTGAATGAATGAAAACTTAACTTCTTCAGAAAGTAATCAGTACAACTCTCCTTGACATGAAAGTTTCCTGTGAGCTGATTTGTCAAGCTCTTATAGAATGACTTTTGCTGAGTTCACCTTTCTTTCGCCTCAGAATAGACCAGGGTTTAAAGAAACAGAGCCACTTTGTCTGTTGTGCAAATGTGACAACTTTTATAATTGTTTACTTGATGGATGCTAATGGCATATTTAAATTGACTATAGAAATGGCTGTTAAATGTATTTAACATATTTAAAGTGTTTTTACTTACTTGATATGTATTTATTTCAGACAATACATACGTTATTACACATGAAGAACTACTAAATCAGTGTTGGTTATGGTGCAAAGTTGAATGCTCAAAAGTTAGGAAATTCTGAATTTAAGGTTGCTTGTATAATTTTAATTCCTCCCTCCCACTCACCTGGTGTGTATGCAGTTTTTAGCTGTGTAATCCTACTATTGAGTGATGCAGTGATACATAATCACATGCTGTTTTTCTCACAGGATATCTGCCTCTTTCAATGCACAGCATAGCAAAATCAATGAGTTTATCTTCACAGTTCCCATGTCAGATAGCAGACTATTATCCCTATTTGAGAGTAGAGGCACACATATATATATATATATATATATTTTTAAGGACAACATTTGCAAAAGTCTCCTAGTTTTGTTTCCTGACAGCACCCCATACTCTTATGGCCTGTTCTTTCAGAGTAAATATTTTTATAGTACTTACATGTACAAAATGCTATATCAGCATTAACTAATTGATCCTCACAACACCCCATGGAAGTAGGTTGACTTCCAGCATCCCAGAGAAGTCTGTGACAAAGACACAGACAAAGCGTAGTTCTGCTGTAAAGCATTCAACTGCCTGAATTACAAGAACATCCTTGCTCTACCTGCCTCAAGAGAATATTGTTTCCCTCTGCGGACTACAAACTTTATGACAAAATGTAACGGACAGAAACAGAGTTACATATGTAGGAGCAGTCCTGTTTTATAGGAAGCATAGTCGGGGTAAATGTTTGGCAGACTTTCTGAAAGATGTTGTTGCTAAGTGGGTCTCCCAAATAAGAGATGTGGATTGTATTTCCAACGTGCTCAATAAGAATTGTGAAAATTACAGAATTATTACCACCATTTAGTAAAAGAAGTGAATCTAGAACACATGATCTCCTGCTTGCCCCTACTGTTCAGAGCTTCCACTCCATGTGCTGATTGCTGAAGTGATGCAACAGGGTCAGTTTTACAGGATAGGAAATAGTGACCTCCCTCCACCATCCCCCCCCAAAAGTCTTAACTCAGCCATATCTGGATGGATTTTCATGAGGCTAGCAAGAGACTGCTCCCTGACCTTAGGACTACCCCCTTGTTACATTTGAAAGTCCTACTGCAGACCATGAATATGGAACCACCTCTTCTTCTTTTTTTTTTTTTTTAAATAAGGGAAAGTGTTAGGTTATCTAAATAGAGGTTATTGTTCTCCTTATAATAAACAGGAAAAAAAATCTTTGATGGTTGTGGGGAGGGGGAGAAATTCTAGCATATGCACTTTGGGCAGGTTTGTGTGCAGCTTCTGTGTTTTTGGTTTTTTTTAATGTTAAAGCAACCTGCAAATTAAAAAGGAAAAGCAAAATAAGTTAGCATTATTTAGTAGATAAAAAGGTAACTGGGTATTTAGCATATTACTAATAGTTAACTTTATTTCCAAAAACATTGTTACTAATTTGCTGAAAATCATTTTTTACTTTTGAATGCTTTTATTACATATTTTGTGGGTCTTAATTTTAAATTTGCAGATCACCTTTTTAATATCCTTGGCTCTTTTTAATTTAGACCATGTTGGGGTGAAATAGTTTAATGTATTTACTGTCTCTGGGTTCTGTTGTGCGTTTTTGTGTAAATATATTTTCACTTCCTCTTATAACTTGCATGAACTGACTTTTTAAAAAATGAAACAGGTTAAAATACATGCTTCAGGATAAATGTAGAATACTAAGTCGTGTTTCCTGAAAATAGAAATGTTGACAGCCCCATAACTTTTGCAGCTTTATTACAACAACTTTTTCTACATTCTGTGTAGAGTTGCCAGTTTTGGTTGGACATGTTCCTGGAGGTTTCATCACATGACCATCTTTATTTAAAGATTACTCTTTAATTCCTGGAGACTCCAGGACAATCCTGGAGGCTTGGCAACCCTGATTCTGTGATTACAGTAGTTATCCACATACATACATTTGTATTAGGTAACAAAGGAGGCCTGGTCTACACTAGAAAAGTGTACTGGTTTAGCTAAACTGATATAAAAATCAAGTTAAGTGGGTGCAAGCAAGGTTAAGGTGATCAAGATAAAGTGTGTCTGCATTAGAAGTTTGCAGCTATGTAACTAAATTGATTTTAATGCATTTTGGTAGCATGCAAGGGCTAAATGTGTATTGCCAGAGGGAATATTTTATATAGAAAATATTTATATCAAGCGTCTGTCCCAGAATACAGTACTTACAGCGGTAGGAAGTTTGGATTGGGGGTGGGGAGATGTTGGAGGAAAAATAGAAATGTTAAAGTAGTAAATAATTCAGGAATAATAATTTCTAAGAGAATTCTGTGATTGCTTTCACATTTAATGAAGATTTTAGACTGTGAAAAGAATCTCAGCAAGTTAAGACACTGTAATACAGAGTAGAAAATGCAGGAATATAATAACCTAAGCATAATATATAGGTCTGGCATGGAAAAATTGTCTCTTCAATGCTACTGTAATATTCTAATGTGGATTATCTTGAAAAGAAAAAAAACCCCTAAGGTTTTACTTTTAAGACATAAATAGCACATTTTCAAATGATAAACTTTTTAATTTTTTTAAAGGCAAAAATGTAATAACTGTATTTATTTAATTTGCAGAGCACCAGAGATTATACTGGGGTTGCCGTTTTGTGAAGCCATAGACATGTGGTCGCTGGGGTGTGTGATTGCAGAGCTGTTCCTTGGGTGGCCGCTGTATCCAGGAGCCCTGGAATATGACCAGGTAGTAGAATAGCTCTATGAATGACTTTGTATTTTAAAAGCATGCATCATTTCTTTATTCTCGGCTAAATTCGTGTGCTGTGATTTTTCTCATGTGAAAGACAAACCTGTACTACATTGTTTAATGGAATTAGATTACGTGAAAGAGTCCACTTAAATAATTTACTTCTGATTTTATTAAAATTTTCTGAAGGAAAATACTAAATGCTCCAAGTATTGAGGTACTATGCTAGGCATTGTGTGTCAGATTCTCAGCTTCTGTAAATTGGCGTAGCCCCATTGACCCATTAATGGAGTTATGCCTATTTAAAGCAGCTGATAATTTGACCCTATTTGTACTCTGCAACATTCTAGATAAATATTGTTGATATGGAGACAAATAGGTGTACATCCCTCATCAAATACTGTAAGTTTTTCTCATTTTTGTAACCCACAATCTGTTACTTGGAATTAAATTCTAGTCTTCATACAGATCCTTTCTTTAAAGATACAGGTTGAAATCTCTGTTCCACTGTGGGGATCTGTGTTCTTACTGCAAAACTCTAGACTTCCGGGTTATGCCCTGTTTTTGAGTGCCATCTCTGCAGTGGAGACACAGCACATGCTATAACCTCCATATTTCCTTCTGACTGTTAAAGGACTTATGGCTCAACCTGTACTGCAGTTTTCTGTCTCAAATCTGAAGGGTTTTTGTACGTTCTTGGTATTTCATTTTATAGTTTTTTGGGGGGTGGGGGAAGGGGGAATAAAATGTTTGTCATTGGGATTTGTGGCAATGTCAGCATGTTAAGGCTCAGGGCCTCTTAGTTCCCTATTCCCTTCGACTTCAGTCAGAACTTGCCATTCCTCCTTAGCCACATGTCCTTATGTGCACGCGTGCCGCCCTTTGTCAGGCTTCATCTCTATTGCCTCCAAACCTGGCTTCATTCCATATGTTCGCTAAAAAAAAAGTCAATATAATTGCTAAAATAACAACTCTGACCAAGGTTCTAGCCTCTCTTGTCCGGTGGACAAAGCCACAGAAAGTTTGAGTGGGGACTCCTTTCCTCATACCTACACCCAAGGCAACTATCATTACTGATGCTTCACTCTTAAGCTGGGGAACTCATATTGACCATTAAACTGCAGCCCTCTTAGAGGGGACATGCAGGTTTACTTCTCACTTTCCCTACCACTAACTGGGGAGAGAAATATCTACAAAACAACATCCAGTTATTGATTTAAGCTTCAAGGTGTTGCTACTTATTGCTTCTTGCTACTAGTACAAGAAACAATCATTGTAATAATGCTTATGTGTCATAAAGTTAAATGCATGCTTGGAGATCTGCTAAACACACAATGAAAAAATAAACAAATGTCGGATTATATAACCTTACAACACAGTCCTAAGTAAAGTGAGGCACTTGCCCAAGGGTCAGATGCCTGAAGGCAGGGAAATGTTAGAAAACCATGTTATTAATTTTAGTCAAATATATATATTAAATAATGTTAGAGAAACGAATCTTCACATATAGTATTATAAAAAATAAAGGAATTTTTGCTTTTTGTATTTCTCTTTGCTGATGCAGCTGTTCAAAACTTAGCTGAAAAGGCTTCATGGTTGTGTAAACCAGGAAACCTGGTTTGTCTCTCTTATCGGTAAAATCCTCTATCTATGCAAATATCAGAATGAAGCAAAGTAGTATGAGAGAATTGTGAGCTCCAGGTACACCCACCCTCTCCCCCCAGCAAGACCGCTAATAAATAAAAACCCAAGGCCACAAAAATAGGCCAGTAAGATGAAAGCAACTGGATGGAACCAGAGGGATTGAGAGCAGAGAATAGATGATAGAAATTGACAGATAAAAGGAAGTTTTAACAGGATAAGCAAAAATATTAGTTTAGGTTAGTTGTAATTTATGCATGAGAATGTTTTAATTAGGAGTTTAGAATAGATAGGTACACAATTGAGGTAACCTGGTAAAGTTATGGAACAAGGGGTAAAAGATTGGTGATTGACAAAAAAGAGTGGAGGAGGCACAGGGAAAGACTAATCAAACATAAAAACCAGGGATTTAAAGAGAGTCGTCCTGTCCCTGAGGATGGTAGTTTGATTATCTTTCTTGCCTTATCTGTTTTTGCATGTATAAGTAATTCATAGGGGATAATACTTTTATTTTAAAATGTACAACATAAAGGCTAAAAGAAACTGTTTAAGCCTAAATTGAAGTGGATCTTATTTTTCACCCAATATTTAGCTGACGAGAGGTACTATTTAGGGCATTCTAGAACTGAATAGTGAAAATCCCCTAAAGAGCTCTTCTAGATACTACTGTCATTGTTTTATATATACCCACTCCCCCAAACCATTTGTAAATATTTTTTTGCAAAATAAAATTGGCCCAAAATAAGTAGAAATCCAACAAAGGTAACAGGGAAGATTTAAATACCAATATGGCAATCTCACTTTCACAGAATGTTGCTAGTATAAACACATTCCAGAACTTCACTTTTACTGACAGATCATTGCATGGTCTCAAGGATGTCAGCCAAAATTATTGCTGTTTGTTGCTATAGTTTTGCAAATTAAAAAAAATGAAAAAATATAATGGTCATTTGGGATTTTTTGGCAGCTCATCTCTTTCTATAATACAGACTCCAATTAACCTGAAATTCTTAATCTTATCTTTTACAGTTTATATTCTGGAGAACTTCATCTGTGTCCCTATAGAGTTAACAGTGGGTTACAAGGCTGCTTGAGTGGGGAATGAATCAGTCAGTTGCTCCCTGTGTATGCACTGTTTTAAAGTTAATGAGATATGTACAAAATGTGGAGAAGTACCTGGCTGTGGTTTCAAAATCATATTTCCTCCTTTTTATAATTTGCCACACAGAAAATTCAGGTTCAGCTAACTTCAAAGATCTGATTTAAACTCACAACAGAAAGAAAATGTAAAGAGAAGGCTGTAACATGTATTCACTTATTGAACATCATGTGATGTTCTTAGATCCCTACAATACTCATGCATAACAATGTGAGTTAAGGTAAAAATATCAGTCTTAGCTTTGGTTACTCTGTCATGTTTTTAAGGATTTAAGTCAAATCCTTGACACTTTTTAATATTTCTGATGATCCAACATTTTAAAATTGCAGTACTTAAAAGAAACAAATGGTTGTGAAGTGATATGATTATCGTATGATGGTGTGGCTTGTTAATAATATTCACTGTTTTGAAAAGATATAACACCTATCATACCTTCTACACCAGTGGTTCTCAAACTTGTTCCGCCGCTTGTGCAGGCAAAGCCCCTGGCGGGCCAGGCCAGTTTGTTTACCTGCTGCGTCCGCAGGTTCGGCCGATCGCAGCTCCCAGTGGCAGTGGTTCACTGCTCCAGGCCAATGGAAGCTGCTGGAAGTGGTGGCCAGTACGTCCCTCGGCCCACGCCGCTTCCACCAGCTCCCATTGGCCTGGAGCAGTAAACCGCAGCCACTGGGAGCCGTGATCGGCCGAACCTGCAGATGCAGCAGGTAACAAACCGGCCTGGCCTGGCCTGCCAGGGGCTTTCCCTGCACAAGCGACTGAACAAGTTTGGGAACCACTGTTCTACACTAATGGTAATTTATAGATAGGTTTCAGAGTAACAGCCGTGTTAGTCTGTATTCGCAAAAAGAAAAGGAGTACTTGTGGCACCTTAGAGACTAACCAATTTATTTGAGCATAAGCGTTCGTGAGCTACAGCTCACTTCATCGGATGCATACTGTGGAAAATACAGAAGATGTTCTTATACATACAAACCATGAAAAAATGGGTGTTTACCACTACAAAAGGTTTTCTCTCCCCCCACCCCACTCTCCTGCTGGTAATAGCTTATCTAAAGTGATCACTCTCCTTACAATTTGTATGATAATCAAGGTGGACCGTTTCCAGCACAAATCCAGGGTTTAACAAGAACGTCTGAGGAAGGGTGGAGGGGGGGTAGGAAAAAACAAGGGGAAATAGGTTACCTTGCATAATGACTTAGCCACTCCCAGACTCTATTCAAGCCTAAGTTAATTGTATCCAATTTGCAAATGAATTCCAATTCAACAGTCTCTCGCTGGAGTCTGGTTTTGAAGTTTTTCTGTTGTAATATCGCAACTTTCATGTCTGTAATCGCGTGACCAGAGAGATTGAAGTGTTCTCCGACTGGTTTATGAATGTTATAATTCTTGACATCTGATTTGTGTCCATTTATTCTTTTACGTAGAGACTGTCCAGTTTGACCAATGTACATGGCAGAGGGGCATTGCTGGCACATGATGGCATATATCACATTGGTAGATGTGCAGGTGAATGAGCCTGTAGCTTACGAAAGCTTATGCTCAAATAAATTGGTTAGTCTCTAAGGTGCCACAAGTACTCCTTTTCTTTTTGCGAATACAGACTAACACGGCTGTTACTCTGGAGCCTCTGATAGTGTGGCTGATGTTATTAGGCCCTGTGATGGTGTCCCCTGAACAGATATGTGGGCACAGTTGGCAACGGGCTTTGTTGCAAGGATAGGTTCGTGGGTTAGTGGTTCTGTTGTGTGGTATGTGGTTGCTGGTGCATATTCGCTTCAGGTTGGGGGGCTGTCTGTAGCCAAGGACTGGCCTGTCTCCCAAGATTTGTGAGAGTGTTGGTTGTAGATCCTTAATAATGCATTGGAGGGGTTTTAGTTGGGGGCTGAAGGTGACGGCTAGTGGCGTTCTGTTATTTTCTTTGTTAGGCCTGTCCTGTAGTAGGTGACTTCTGGGAACTCTTCTGGCTCTATCAATCTGTTTCTTCACCTGCACAGGTGGGTATTGTAGTTGTAAGAATGCTTGATAGAGATCTTGTAGGTGTTTGTCTCTGTCTGAGGGGTTGGAGCAAATGCGGTTGTATCGCAGAGCTTGGCTGTAGACAATGGATCGTGTGGTGTGGTCAGGGTGAAAGCTGGAGGCATGTAGGTAGGAATAGCGGTCAGTAGGTTTCCGGTATAGGGTGGTGTTTATGTGACCATCGTTTATTAGCACTGTAGTGTCCAGGAAGTGGATCTCTTGTGTGGACTGGACCAGGCTGAGGTTGATGGTGGGATGGAAATTGTTGAAATCATGGTGGAATTCCTCAAGGGCTTCTTCTCCATGGGTCCAGATGATGAAGATGTCATCAATATAGCTCAAGTAAAGTAGGGGCATTAGAGGACGAGAGCGGAGGAAGCATTGTTCTAAGTCAGCCATACAAATGTTGGCATACTGTGGGGCCATGCGGGTACCCATAGCAGTGCCGCTGATTTGAAGGTATACATTGTCCCCAAATGTAAAATAGTTATGGGTAAGGACAAAGTCACAAAGTTCAGCCACCAGGTTAGCCGTGACATTATCGGGGATAGTGTTCTTGACGGCTTGTAGTCCATCTTTGTGTGGAATGTTGGTGTAGAGGGCTTCTACATCCATAGTGGCCAGGATGGTGTTATCAGGAAGATCACCGATGGATTGTAGTTTCCTCAGGAAGTCAGTGGTGTCTCGAAGGTAGCTGGGAGTGCGTAGGGCCTGAGGAGGGAGTCTACATAGCCAGACAATCCTGCTGTTAGGGTGCCAATGCCTGAGATGATGGGGCGCCCAGGATTTCCAGGTTTATGGATCTTGGGTAGTAGATAGAATATCCCAGGTCGGGGTTCCAGGGTTGTGTCTGTGTGGATTTGATCTTGTGCTTTTACAGGGAGTTTCTTGAGCAAATGCTGTAGTTTCTTTTGGTAACTCTCAGTGGGATCAGAGGGTAATGGCTTGTAGAAAGTGGTGTTGGAGAGCTGCCGAGCAGCCTCTTGTTCATATTCCGACGTATTCATGTTGACAACAGCATCTCCTTTGTCAGCCTTTTTGATTATGATGCCAGAGTTGTTTCTGAGGCTGTGGATGGCATTGTGTTCTGCACGGCTGAGGTTGTGGGGCAAGTGATGCTGCTTTTCCACAATTTCAGCCCATGCACGTCGGCGGAAGCACTCTATGTAGAAGTCCAGTCTGCTGTCTCGACCTTCAGGAGGAGTCCACCTAGAATCCTTCTTTATGTAGTGTTGGTAGGGAGGTCTCTGTGGATTAGTATGTTGTTCAGAGGTGTGTTGGAAATATTCCTTGAGTCGGAGACATCGAAAATAGGATTCTAGGTCACCACAGAACTGTATCATGTTCGTGGGGGTGGAGGGGCAGAAGGAGAGGCCCCGAGATAGGACAGCTACTTCTGCTGGGCTAAGAATATAGTTGGATAGGTTAACAATATTGCTGGGTGGGTTGAGGGAACCATTGCTGTGGCCTCTTGTGGCATGTAGTAGTTAGAAAGTTTAGTGTCCTTTTTCTTTTGTAGAGAAGCAAAGTGTGTGTTGTAAATGGCTTGTTACAGTAAAACATCTTGGTGTAGACAGTTAGTTATAGACCTGATACAATGTCCACTGAAGTCAACAGAGATACTCCCATTGTTCTAAATGGATGTTGGATCAGGCCCTATATAGTGAAGGATTCCAAAGTACTTGACAAACAATATCCTGAAATTTCACTCACTGCTGAAATGCAGCCTTCTTTGGAGTGAAACACATATTCACTATGTAACAGAGCACAACAACGTATAAAGGAAGTGAAAAACTTCCAAAGAATACTGTATCTAACTGAAAACACAGGGACAATTTTAGGTGGGTAGAATGTGAGTAGCCAAATGAAATTTGGCTGGAATGTGGGGAGTTAATACCTGTATCAAAAGGGGTCTAACATTTTTATATAACACATTTGCAAAATGGCAATCATCAGAATGTTCGGAGAAAATGGAACAAAAAATTAACTCTTCTTTTCACTGTGGATATATATGGTCTTGTCATTAAACTGTGTGGAAATTCTTTTAATACCTTTTGAAAGAACTGTGGCATACACCTAACCCATACCACTGTAAAATGTTACTTGTGCTGGGACCCCATGCGTCACTTGGTTTCAAATATGATTTTTGAATTATTAGAAGAATAGTGCCTTGTATGTTCATTCTAAGGGGAAAACTGAGTATTCATGTCATTCTCTCCTCTTCTGAATGGAACAAACATCTTTCCTGAGCTTATCTGTAAGGCCTCAGTTCAGCTCTTAATAAGGATTTGAATGAGGGGAGGATGGTGACTTTGTGAAACTGCTCCCGGAGAGCATTCCATACATATGGAGTCATGATTATTGCAGAGTTTGCAGTAGTTTTGAACCAGTAAGTAATGTAAATAAAAGACTCATTGCTGACCAGAATTATGTCCTTGTTTAACTATACTAGTTTAGATGCTTGGGTATTTAGCAAAAAGAACAGGAGTACTTGTGGCACCTTAGAGACTAACAGATTTATTTGAGCATAAGCTTTCTTGGGCTACAGCCCACTTCATTGGCTGCACAGAATGGAACAGTTGACAAATGGGCCATCTTGATTATAACTACAAAAGTGTTTTTTGTTTTTTTTTCTCCTGCTGATAATAGCTCGTCTTAATTAATTAGCCTCTTATAGTTTGTATAGCAACTTCCACCTTCTCTGTATGTATATATATATATCTTCTTACTATATGTTCCACAAGTACTCCCGTTCTTTTTGTGGACACAGACTAACATGGCTGCTACTCTGAAACCTTGGATATTTAGGGTTTTCTCCTGCTAATACCTGGAGAGAGCAATACACAACTTTTTAAAGTACTGATTCTCTCCTGCGTAAGAGTTGTTTGCCCACTCTTAGTCCTCTTTGCATTTTTTAGTGTGGGAAATGACGAAGTGCAAGTTTCTATCTTTGTAGATCATGATTTGAAAACAAAAAGTTAAGTTCCTTCTACTTTTTCCTCCTCCAGATTCGTTACATTTCACAGACTCAAGGTTTGCCAGGAGAGCAGTTGTTGAACATGGGAACGAAAACTGCAAGATTTTTCTGTAGAGAAACAGATGCACCATATTCTGGTTGGAGGTTAAAGGTAAAAAGTATTAAATAATTGAAAAAATAGTATAATGCATACATACGCCACATAGGCCAAATTAAGGTTTCTTATTTATAACATGGAGATCTTATTCACAAATTTGCAAAACTAAGATAGAATTATGTCTTCTATCTAAGTAATGTTAGGCCAGCCCTACTCTACAAACCTATATTGGTATATCTGCGTTGCTCTGGGGTGTGAAAAATCCACATCTGCAGGTGATGTAGTTATAATGACCTAATCCCTCTCATAAACAGGGTTATGTCAACGAGAGATCTTCTCCCTTCAACATAGCTACTACCTGTCGGCATAGCTAATCCTCCTCCCCAATGGGAGAAGCTCTCCCTTCAGCGTAGTCGCGTCTTTACTAAAGTACTATATCAGTGTAGCTGCACTGTAGCACTGTATGTGAAGACAACCGCCCAGACCTATGTGGTTTAATTTCTCTGCTGTATAAAGAATTAAGTAGCTCCCATGTTATCTCTGGAGTGGGACCCACAAAGGCTTAGGCAGTATTGAGTAAAGAGCCAAGTACAGATAACAAATGGAGTTAAATCTTGGTGAATGGTCATGAAATTCTGAAGCAATAGTAGCAAAATAAAATATCATTCCATAGTAAGTTGTTTGGTTTATTTTGCTTAGTATGTTTAAAATGAAAAGTGAGGATTGCTAACTGGGTGTACTGTTGGTGCAATTGTCCACAGATTAATGCCTTTTGGACCCAGGTTATGTTAGAGCTTTCTAAGTGCTTTAGTGTGGTTATTCCTGGTCTCCAACTTTGATATTTCTGTTGGATCTCACTTTAACTTCCATCTGATCTCTTTCAGTATGAATGGAGGTGAATGGGGCTTTTATTGGCTAGAGAATGTATCTTTTTATGTTGGATACAAGACAAGTCACCCTTCTGTCTCTGGATATTAAGATTGTTAAATCTCCCATACCAGACTAAACAATCTACTCTTTGGAGGGAGAGGAAAGGGAAATTGTTTTGATGTATGGAGAGCACAGCTGAACTATTTTCCAGATTGTTAGAAAAACATTGCTGAATCTAGTCTAGATAATATGCTGAGGAAGCTTCTCTTTAATGTACTTTTAAATAGTGGTGTTTTTTTCTTTTGGGATCATGCAAGAGTCCCTACTGCAGGATGAGAGTGGGACTCAGGTGTTGCTTTGTTTTATTTACTTATTTTGGGGAAATTATAACAGAAAGTGAGGAGTAAGGTATTTAGTTTCATTATGCTACTGTCTTGATGTATATACTTGTCCTTTAGGCCTTATTTGTTTATGATGTTTTAATATTTCAGATACTTTCTCTGTCACTGTAGCTCTGAACAAATAAAATGTACTTGAAAACAAAACAGAAACAACAACCCTGTAAGAAGAGAGAAATTGAAAGGGGCATGATTCTATTTAAAGTGATACTGTCACCTAGTTTAGTTCCAAAAGTTAGTGGTAGGTGAATGTGTAAAATAAACCAACAACAAACAAACAAAAACCTTTTATGTAAGAAACCAAATACCAATAAAAAAGTTTTCATAAAGCATGTTTTTGTTAGATGTTCGCTATTTCCTGAGTTGTTTGCAAACCAGATACTGTAGTATAGCATTGTGATTATTCAGAAGAGCCAGGAAGTGAAATTGGCTATTTTTGTTGTCTAAACTGACTGAAATACAAAAAGTCAGCAAAAAGCATAACAGTGAAATAAATGTCAAATTAAAGTCTCTCAACTGTCTAAAGTGTGATTACTAACAGTAAATATTTTATCCTAACAGTGTCCTTTTAATTGACGGAGTGTTTGTTTTTTTCCCTTTTAAGACACTGGAAGAGCATGAGACAGAGACAGGGATGAAGTCTAAAGAGGCCAGAAAGTATATTTTCAACAGTTTGGATGATATAGTGCATGTGAGTTCTCAAGTATTTTTCCTTTGCAAGCAATACAGCTGAGAGATGCACAATGATTTATTTTTAAACTTTTATCAGTTAGATTTTGTGAATTAGAGTACATTCTGGGAATATTTTCCATTCATCCATACCTGCCTAGTGTGCTTCTGTGGAAACAGTCCATCTATGCCTGTCTAAGTTCCTTGGTGCATAGATCTCGTCTTCTTTTGTTGTTCTGTGATTGTTGTGCAGTTACATTTGTCCTGGTGAAAAAGATCTTAAATAGTGTGCAGTATATTCCATATTCTACTGTAACATCTACCAATCTAGGTAAAATGATTCTTATATCTAGGTTTTTATTTATAGTAAAAGTATCATTTGTCTTTATCCTTTTTCTAGAGACACTGACAGCTTCCCAAACCCTTTTGTTTTTAACTAAACTGCATCCTTATACTTCTACTGCTTTATATGCCTTAATCACTAATAAAAGGAAATCTCCTCCCCCTCTTTCTTCTTTGACATCCTGAGAAAATACTCAATTCCATTTCAGGACTGGTGTTACTATACACATTTGAAATTGTCTTCTTCATGTACTAGCTCTGTTCTCACAGCTCAACCTTAAAAAAAAGAGTAATACTTAACATTTATTTAGTATTTTCCACTTTCAAGGCAAAAATAAGTAAGAGGATCTGGTGGTTTTTGTTCCTTTGAATCTTTTATTCCTCCATTTTCAGAGGTTGGCAAAATCTTCCACTTAGTTCTGAGAGACTTCCAGTGGCATGGAAGCAGACAGAGAATCTCATCTGTCTCGTATGTCAGGCACATGGGTTCCCTAATCTGAGTGAGCATCACTGATTAAAAATGTATCAGTTGAAAGAAAACACTTCCAGGGATGATGATTTGAGGCAGGTGCGGGCACCAGTACTACTGATAACTGGGTTTCTTTTTCAAGGATTCTAATCTCCACCTCCTAAACAGACTGTTAAATTTCAAATCCCAAATTTGGAATGATAGGTGGTATAAGGCTTTCAATAGATGTTAGGTGCGCAGGTACTGTCAGAAGAGCAGTTATTTATACAGTAAAATCTTGAAAGGTGTTTCTTGGGTCAGATTCATTAGCCCCAAGATAAACATGTCTGGACAAGCTAATAAATTCCAAATATTTCACTTGGCCCTACTTTTTAAAAGCAATACATGTTAGTTTTTTGAAGTGGAAAAATTTAATGAAAGGAACCAAAGGAAGTATTATCAGTATGCATGTTTGTTTTATCTGACTTTTTAAAAAATTGTTCCATGCCAGGTGAACATGGTGATGGATCTGGAAGGAAGTGACCTATTGGCAGAGAAGGCAGATAGAAGAGAATTTGTCAGTCTGTTGAAGAAAATGTTGCTGATTGATGCTGATTTAAGAATTACTCCAGCTGAGACACTGAACCATCCCTTTGTTACCATGAAGCATCTCCTAGATTTTCCACATAGCAACCAGTATGTTATATACAGTAATAATAAAACAGTGTTGTGTTAGACCTACAACAGTGCTTTACAGTCAAATTGATGTGTGTGGGGTGGTGTGTGTGTGTGTGTGTGTATATATGTGTGTGTATATATATATATTCTGTTGCTTAAAACTTATAGAATGCTAAGTATGTATAGTGTTGAGATGCCTAGAATACAAAATTCCCCATGCTGAGGCACCAATAGTCTTAGGGCCTGATTCTAAAAAGAACTGAGTACCCTCCATTCTCATAGAATTGGTGTTCAGAATTTAATAGAATCAGGCCCTAATTCCCAAGCCCAATTAAAGTTTTTAAAATGCTAGAAATAGATACTTGAACAATAAATAAATAGATAAATAAAATAGATACACAGAAGTCTAACAAAGGAGAGAACTTTTCATATGTCTAATCCAGCGGTTCTCAAACTGTGGGCGGGACCCCAAAGTAGGTCACGGGTCACCAGGGCTGTCGTTAAACTTGCTGGGGCCTGGGGCTGAAGCCAAAGCCCAAACCCCACTGCCCAGGGCTGAAGCCCTCAAACTTTGGCACCCTCCCCAGGGCAGGCGGGCTCAGGCTTTGACCTTCCTGTGGTCTTCTAGTAATTTTTGCTGTCAGAAGGGGGTCGCGGTGCAATGAAGTTTGAGGAAACCCTGGTCTAATCCATCACCTTCTTTTGGTACATACCCCAATTATTAGCAGATACTCAGCAATACTGTTAGACACTAGAAGCAGAAAATAGTTACAGTTTATCTTTCTTGATATTAAACCATAGATTCAATAGGTTTACCATTAATTGTAAGAATTTTGGGTTTTTAGAGAAGAGATGCTCATAAGCATAATTCTAGCTGTATCTTGCCTTACAGAATCGTAAAATCATAGGGTTAGAAGGGATCGTAAGGGTCATCTAGTCTAACTTCCTTCAAAGATGCAGGATTATGTTAATCATGAAATTGTGTTTTCCGAACCATTTCTCCTTCCTCCAGTGGAATTAATTAATTTATACTTTTTAAAATGGAAATTTTAAATAAAAAAATTCTCTTCTTTTAACAGAGTGAAATCTTGTTTCCATATCATGGATGTCTGCAAATACAGATCAAACTCATATGACATAAGTAATTGCAATAAAACGCCACTTATAAGACCAGTTGCCTCAGGCAGAGCTACTAATCTGACTGCAAACTTCACCAAAATTGGTACAGTGAGGAGTCAGGTAAGAATTTTTGGCTATTAGCTCTATTAATTTAGTTTCTCATTTTGATTTCAAAATATGATCCAGGAATCATCATATTTGACAATAGCTGCAAAATCTTATGTACATTTTATTCCCCCTTTCTAGAGTTGTTCACTTTCTGTTCAGTTTGAAAAAGTTAGTTTTCTAAGCCTGATTTCAAAAACGTTTAGGTTTTGACTTGTCATCCTGAAAGTGGTTTGCTTTATTACAGTGCCCTCGAGTGGTCAAATGGTATTTCTTCATCTGAAATGTTTTGAAACTTCAATTTCAGTTTTCAGAGTAGCAGCCGTGTTAGTCTGTATTTGCAAAAAGAAAAGGAGTACTTGTGGCACCTTAGAGACTAACCAATTTATTTGAGCATAAGCTTTCCGATGAAGTGAGCTGTAGCTCACGAAAGCTTATCCTCAAATAAATTGGTTAGTCTCTAAGGTGCCACAAGTACTCCTTTTCTTTTTTCTATTTCAGTGGAATTAATTAATAATTATTTGCTCTGTATTTGTGTGTGTGAGAGAGTGAGAGTGAGAGTGAGAGAGAGAGAGAGAGAGAGAGATGATGATAAAATATACATTCATTTAATGTGGTCATCCATGCTAAATTTATTGTTTCAGGCATTAACTGCATCTGCCCATTCAGTTTTACATCATGGAATACCACTGCAGGCAGGAACTGCTCAGTTTGGTTGCAATGATGCTTTTCAGCAGGCACTGATTATATGCCCCCCAACTATCCAAGGTAGGATTAACTGAAATTGTTTCATTTTCTGAATTTTGAAAAGCAGCAGCTATTACTGGAGTCGTTAATTGTCTGTATTTCACTATAAACTTTGTCTGAGAAATTTACAGTTCTGCTATAAAAAAAACTCCCCAGACTGAAACTGGAAATATTTTTGATTAAATAAATCTATCTGGATAATGGGAGTCCTACCATTGCATTTCTAGGTGAATTTTCCTCATATTTTAATCCACAGCCCTCTGAATGAAATTGAATGCTAAAACAAGAATTTATTAGCCTCTCCAAAATGTTTTGCTAGCTTTCTGCCACTGTCCTGTTGTACTTTTGAAGTGTAATATGTAGAATAGATCAAGCTGAGATATTTTAACTTATGATGTGAGAAAGACTAGCAGAGCATGGTCTCTGTTCAGACTAGATTTGACTGAGACCGTTATAGTGCAAAGCACATACATCTTCTTTGAGAGAGACCTGCTAAATTTTCTGACCTTTTACATTTATGCCTTCATGTTTGGTGGGATAGCAGATGTTAAGACATAAAATATAGTGTAGTTCATAAAGTTCATTTTTGTGAAGGCAAATGTTGTTGCATATACTCAACTTTGGTTATATGTGACTCTAAGCATACATGATTTAGAGTTCTCTCAAAGCTTTCAAAAGTTGCAGAAACCACTTATTAAGGCAGCCCAAAGGAAGGTCTGTATACCATGTCCTAACATCCAATTGTCAGTTTTTTCTCCTTACAGCAGTTTAGGAGCTCATTCACTCATTTTACCTGTGGGATTCCAGGGCAGATGTTGTCTTCTTAAAACTAGAGATCCTAGCACCAGGCCAAAAGGTATTGCTATGAACTGGAACTGCTATGCTTCTAGCACAAATCTGAAATACTTTCTTGTTTTTAGATATGTCTGCATAGATGTAAATAATAATGTGATACTGTGCTCTATAATGTCAGAGAACAAGATTTGATTTCTGTCCCCAGCCTAACATGAACAGTGTACTTTTGGTGTGGGTAGAGTGTTGTTTATGTCAAACAGCAACCTGCTTACCAGTTGAAAAGAATGACAGGGTCTAGATCCAAAGCAGTCCTGTGCAGTCCCCATCTTAAATGAGGATGATCACAGCATGGGATCTTAAGGCTGTGCATGTGTGAAATAGGTTTAAAGTTTGGGCAAAATAGGGAGAAATCTTTTGGGGTTTCAGTTAGGAATGTTGGAGATCCATGGAGACAGCATGTATAATTACCCTGAGTAATTACCGCTCTGCTGGATCCTACAATTACTGTGTGTCATTATGATGAATTAGGACAGTTGCATCTGACCATTGCAGCCTGAACATACTGTTTCAAAAAGGTCAGGTGGCCACAACTATGCTTTGTGGCAGGTTCTCTGCCCTGTTGTGTTCCCATTATGCTACTCGGGCAGCACAGACACAGCAGAAGCCCACCCCCAAGTCTCCTTGCAAGGAATTCCCACTGTGGGAGAATCTCCAGTATGCACAGAGCTCCTATGCCTCCCCCATCACTCCTGGCACATAGGATGGGTCAGGTGGAGAAGAAGAGTACCTTGAGCATGCTACTCTCTGGCTCATGATCTCGTGGGGATAGTAGCCAGCTTGCACAAGTTGAGCAACCTCTAGCTCTAACCTGGGCTGGATAATAGGATCAGGGAGTTAAAACTGGTGGTTGGTTCTCCTCTTTTAGGCTATCATTGGGTAATTGTGGAGGAGAAGGGGGCCGTCCTTTGCTGGTACTTCCTTAGACTCTGGCAAAGCCAGTTGAGCACCTATCCTGCTGTCTTAGGGGCTTCCACAGCTTGGTAGGGAACCCATCTAGATCTTCCAAATATTTCAGATTAAAAATTACAATTCACAGAATATATTTTTAATTCATAATTAAATACAAATCTTAACAGAGTTGCCCTCAGGGCAACTTGGAATCTTGAGTCAAATGTTGGACACCACTGTACTTGGTAGCCGCCCAAACAAGTATGAAACCTAAATATTCAGTGCAGAATGCTTTACTTTTGGCAAAATAGTCTGAAAAATGGTAGGAACAGTCACTCTAAGCCTGATCTGAGCCAGTGACTTAGATGTAAGGATCTGTGTCCAGTTCCCCCGCAGAATGAATTTTTCTTTTACTATGAGAACCTTAAATTCGGGTCTAGAGCACATAACTGATTCCTTGATTTCTTCTGTATTAGCTTTATGATGGTTCTAAATTTCAGCTTTAGGTCAGAATTTTATCATAATTCTGATACTCATCTTTAGCCAAATACTCCAACAATGTTTTAAAAGCTGAATTATGACTGTAGCCCACAGGAGTCTGAGAGTCCAAGTCCCAAATGATTCATGCATCTGCATGATATTTTGGCATGTGCAATTCCAGACTCTTAAGGCTTATGGTTTTTCAGGCCAGAAAATCCTGCAGCCCATGCAGGGCCTGGTGAAGGAAACTGGCTATCCCAGAAGATTCGTTATGCTCTTCAGGAATCTATCTTTGGGAGCATGGAGTAGCAGTGGAATTGGGGTAGTGGACCTTGTGAAAACTTCATGCTCTGAGGCATATCTCTGTAAGTGTGAGCAATGGATAGGGGTCTTAGAACAGTGTGGTAAGATGGGTCCTGGAAGGAAAGCAATAGGAGAAGTGCTGAAGGGGACGGGCAAGAGAGATACAGAAGAAGAGGACAGAAAACAACAAAAAGGAAGGGGGAGGGGAAATCAAACAGGACATAAAAAGGAAAATGGATTTTTATAGAGAAAAAATATAGAAGTGGGAGATGAAGAGGAACCAATCAGTTTTAAGTTTAGTAATTTATTCTTATCTTTAGCTAAAACACCATTTACAGTTATCACATGAACACCAAAATTAAGCATTTGATATGCACCTACAGGCAGCACCATCAATAAAATTTATTCCACCTTACCTTTGGGGATATTGGTTAAATTGCACTGTCCTTAAGGGAAGGAGATAACAAGTTGGCAGAACCTTTCCTTACAATAATTCTGTAACATCGATTTGAGATAGATGTTTTGGAATTCCTGAAAAGAAATCTTCAGATAATGCCTAATACCCAGTTATTGGAAATGATTGATAGCTGATGAGGTGACAATGTTAGCATACAAGTACTTCCTCTGAAGCAGACTAGAAAACAGCTGGAATACCACAGGGATGTGTACCTTTCTACATGTATATAAGAACATAGATTAGGCTTTATTCCCCTAAACAAGCACATGCACCTCATGTAAACAGAGGTTTTATTGTTTGAAGGACTTGTATCAGACAGTATCTGGAATCTGACAGTAGATATTTATGGGAAGAGACTCTAGTTTTTGCTGTTTGTATTTTTTAACATCAACCCATCAGATATAAACTGTTTTGACAAGAACTGTCTTTCTCATCTCAAGTCACTGTCAACTATGGAGAAGAGAAGACAGTTTAGGTGACACTTGGGTCTTGGTTTTCAGTTTGGTTGTATTCTTTCATCTTTGTTTTTTCTCTGAAGAGGTTACCCATTGCTGCAATGCACCTATATTGAGAGGGCATGTGTTCTTGTTGGAAAATGGCCAGTCTTTGAAAGGGAAAATGAAATCATTATGACAGCTGCAGGTGTTAAGGAGTTCTTTGTAAATTATGCTAAATCCCGCTTAATTCTCTCTCACCAACTGGAAGTCATAGAGACCCTAATAGACATAGGCTGAGGAAAAGCCTTTTTCCTTAAATTCAGAACCCAAGAAAACTTACCCTTTCTTAAGATAAAGATAGAGCCAGCAGGTGTTACCAACTATGTTATTCATAGCTGTTGCCTCTATCCTGGGTTTCAGAACTTTCTGAAAGCTTTGAGTACACCAGCCCAAAATGTTATAGACTATTTGAGCCAAACATATAACTTTATGCACAGATTATTTCCTTCTGAGTATACTAATTATAGGTAAGTAATTTATTCTCTGCTAATGGTACCTTTTTTTTAAAGATGCATGTTACTATTTTAGTAATACCTAATAAATAGGATATTGAAAAGGAGACAGTACAGGAAAAAATAGTTGTCTTTGGATTCCATTGCCTGCTCTTAGTAGTGTGCTGAACTGCTGAATTAGAGTCCTAATTTAGTCATAGCTTGAATGGGGGAGAACAAACATACTGGTTTCAGCACCTCTGTGACAAGCTGAGTTTTTGGTGGGGAGGTGATGGGAGAGAAATGTTAACAATATTTGGTGCTGTTCATCATTCCCTGTTTGGCTTCTGTGTAGAATATCCTAAGTGCTGAGTCTTGCTGCTCTTGGCAGAATTAAGGTGCTGCTGGTCTATATGGTTGGATGGAAGAAATTACTCAACAAAGTTTTTTAAATTCCAAGCCTTTCATCAAACAGTTACAACTTAGTATAGCAATGTGGCATGTTCAAAGATGTTCAGTCCATTGAAATAAAAGATAAAAACAACCTCCTAATGCATAAATGAATGTATAATCTTAGGCAGTAGTTTCCTGTCACCCATATGTGTATGGCTTAGTAATTGACTGCAGTGTGTGTCATGTAAAAGGCAAGACCAGAAGTCAAAATTAGTATATTCTCATTGACAGTAGAACCTGCAGTGAAAGAAAGCTGTTCTATTAGAAAATGCTGTTGAAAAAATAAACTACTGCCCCCCTCCCTATTTATATTGTTAGGTCATCTGAAAATTATTCCGTGGCTTAAACATTGCACCATTTTTTATCTGTGACTGTCTGAATCTGGTAAAGCCCAGTAGGGATGACAAGCCATTAAAACACTCATAGAACATTAGAGAGGGTGTCTTTCCTGGACTGTTCTTGCTGTAATATTTCAGGTGTGTGTCAGTTCACAGTGCCAGAACACACACAAGAGAAGCAGGTTGTGGGTTGGCTGTCATGGGCTCTGCTGGAAAGATTTTATGGATTGTAGGGAGAATCAAATACTGGTTCCCCACAGAAGATCCTAAAACCAGACAGATGCATGGGTGGCATGTATAAGAGGCTTGAGGAGACTTACCCTCCCCAAAATAAAAAAGGCTGGCCATGCAGGGGGCAAATGTGGGTCACCTCCACTTTTTTTCCTGCCTTCAAGGCAAGTGATGTGGGAGGAGGTGAGGGGAGTGAGTGGTGAGCGGGACCTTGGGGGAAGAGGTAGATTAGGGGCTGGAAGAGGGCAGGGCCTCGGGGGGAAGAAGTGGAGTGGGGTGGGAAGAGGTGGGGTGGGGTGGAGCCTCAGGGCGGAGGGCAGTCTGCATACCGGTGGCCCCCCACTTTTAGGGTACTTCCAGTGATCCTGGAGTAGCCTTCCCAAACGAAAGACTCATGCGCCATCTGTGGACAGAAGGGGTCCATGTATGTGGCTTCCTTACAGGCATCACTGTTAAGAGCTAGAGGAATTGATAAGGACACCTTGTGGAAAGAAAATGTTAGTAGGTAGGAAGTGATTGAGTTCCATAGGCCTCCGTGGGGAGCAGTGAAGTTAGCCATTGACCCTCCCCCAATGTTGTTTTTCCTTGGCTGCCCTGCAACTGAAGAAATTTGTAATAGATAGTAAAACTCTCAGCATTGTAGAAAGCTTTTAGCATGAGTCATTCTGCTGAGGATAAAATATAATTGGTTCTTTCTATAGAATGTGTTCTCATAGTGATTACACAAATTACAGTAACACACACTTGAACAGATAGGTACTGAAACAAAATCTCCTAAGGCCTTGTCTACACTACGAAATTAGGTCGAATTTGTAGAAGTCGGTTTTGTAGAAAGCGTTTGTGTACAGTCGATCGTATGAGTCCCCACACAAATGCTCTAAGTGCATGTAGTCGGCGGAGTGTGTCCACAGTACCGAGGCAAC